TTGAAGTTTTAAAAATTAAAAGGGAAATACAAATGGTAAACCAAGAGAATGACCTGGAAAATGTTTTCTTATTGGATCTACAAAAGAGGCTTGTTAAAGCCTTGAAGAAGTCTGTGGATTGGGATAAAGAAGAATTGAAGGGAATTCAAATCCTATGACAATATTTGATTGAATTAAAGATTAAGACTGTTAGAAGTAAAAGGAAATTGGTTTATTTGATCAAGGTTAAAATAAGATATTTTTTTGCAAAGTTCTGGGAACCCTTTATGGACTTTGTGCTGACACCAGCATTGAAAAATTGATATTCTGTGGATTTATTTTGATAAGGGATAGGATATGGGATGAAGAGATATCTGTTTATAACCTTATAGGGGGTGAAGAGTCTATAAATTTGTTTGTACTTGTTGTGAAGAAGGTTGGAAGTCACTTCTTTATATATTTGTTTTCTTTTTCTTTATTATATTCTTCTTTTTTTCTTCTTTCTTTTGTCTTTTTTCCTGCACTTATTTTTTCTCTTTCTCTAAGTTCAGTTTATATGATTGTAATAAAAATTATTAATAAAAATTATGTTAAAAACAAGATCAGGTGAGTTTGCTGCAGAATGAGAAGCTTCAGGAGCAACCTTGGTAGTGATCCTGTGTGCTATTAATTGAATATAGAATATGAATAGGAGGGAGCTGGATGACAACTGGGAGGAAGTATTTTCCTTGGTAATTAGAGCTGAAATGAATTAAATCTAAATTAACTGTTGCAGTTCAGAATTGGATTTTTATCTTAATGGTTTGAATGTTTTCAGTGTGGGATTGATAGTTTTGATTCTGACAGATTTAATGCATTTTATTGCTGCTTATGTTTACATCAACAGAGTTCTTTTTCTACTGCAGTCATACACTTTCCCCAAATAAGATTATAACTTAAAACCACCATTAAATTACATTGGAACAGATCAGGAAGTAGTTAATCAAAAATCCCCAAAAGACCTGACAAGCAAAATGTTACCATGCTTCTGTTTGAGGGTGACTCAGTCTCCAGCTGCTTTGGATTCCATCAGTCCCCTTCATCATAGCCAATGGAAACAGAATGTGGGAGTTGTAGTTTCAGACAACTGGAGGGATACCCATTCCTTACCCCTTTCTACTTTAATCTGATACAGTAGGATGGGCCCAATGGTATTTGTAGAAAGACTGTTTCATAACAAAATCTTTTCTGATGGAAGATAAACCTCCTATTGGTTATAGTATCAGCATTTTGAATAAAGTCCTAAAATAAATTGATAAGCAGTGAAATTGAAATTGGGACAGTATTCAACTCCACTATGAGCACCAACGCCATTAAATTCTGAAGCACGTTTTTAAAGGTGTGGGGGATAGAATTCTTAGCATGAACGTTGAAGTACCCAGGAAAAAGATAAATCCATAACCCACTGTTCAAGCTCATGTTGTCAACTCAGGAAACTACAGCATTATATAATACCAAATTATTTTTGTGATATAATTTAAAAAGCCTAAGAACTGCCAATAATCAATGAGAAGTGCAGCAGACTGGTTTGATTCTAATATTTTGCCATTTGCAATTTTTCTTATGGGCATTTGTTTATGATCCTTTTTTTCCCTTTTTTTGTAAAGAAATATGCTATATATGCATCTGTGCCTGAAGTCATGTCTACAGTTTTAACAGTTTGACTCTGACAAACTGAAATTTAGTGAGCTGGGCAGTGACAAATTTGAAAAATAAATAAATATATAAATATAAATAAATAAAATTGGTTTGTAAAACTGTTCATGCAAGTTAATTAGTTGTTTTTGTTTCTTAACAGCTCCTAGGTTACAATGAAAAACCCGTAAATCTTCAGATGTTTATTGGGACAGCAGATGATCGTTACTTACGGCCACATGCTTTTTACCAAGTGCACAGAATCACGGGAAAAACCGTTGCTACGGCTAGTCAAGAAATAATCCTTGCCAGCACCAAGGTTTTGGAAATTCCTCTTTTACCTGAAAACAATATGTCTGCCAGGTAGGTCTGAGGATTCTTCCAAGCAAATCAGTATGTTACACCCCAGGTTTCCCAGCTGTTCATGGGCTACAGGACATTAATGTATTACAGCACATTATACTGTAATCTTCATAGATCAGCTTCTGAGTGCAGCTCATTGCAACTTCTGTTCGGGATGTGGTTCTTCAGGTTTGAAGTGGACACATTAGGAAAACAGTAATGCCTGGCTGACACCTGGAGCGCAGGTGTTTCATGATGCAATAAGGATAAGGCTATGCTGCAGACGGCTTTTGTATCATAGAAGTAGTTGGTATGTAGGGAAACATAGGGACAGTTATATGTGCACATGCTTGCATGCACATACGCACACAGATTATAATGGGCGACCGTAGTTTTACTTTGTATTTGAGTATTAACAATTATCTGAAGCAACTCTTTATTGGCCTGCAGACACATTCATAACAGCTCTTCTCCCCTCTCTCACACATACCCATTAATACTTGTCTGTAGCCCTTCAGCGAATGTTGATTCTTAAAAAATGCCAGGTCTATTCCAAATAAGGCAAAAGTTTATTGTCCCTGTGGTGGTGAAGTACTAAGATCAGGCACAGCACGGTAGGTTAAAATGGATTTATTCCAATGTAGTCTTGGCGGTTTTCCAAAATACATTTGGCTATATCATGTATGCTCTTTCACCTCTTATTTTCCACTCCCACTTCTCTCTTCTGCCCCTTGTCTGCACAAACATCACTTGCTGTATTTGCAGGTGTTGTTAAGTGATAGTTTGTTTGGATGAGGAAGAGGAGAATATGTGAAATGAGAGGGTTTGATGACTCTGCAGGCACTGCTTTTGAGGACTAGGAACATTACACAACTGATACTGACTGACCCAGTAAGGGTCAGTTTATTATAAATATTTTTTTGCTTAGATGTTAAAAAAATGATACCTGAAAGCTGGTAATCAGCTGTTGTAAGAAGTGATCCATTTTTGCTTGATGTAGTTTTCAAGAGAATTACTTTGCAGATTTCACAGATGTTCTAAGTTAACATCTGTCAGTCATCCACAGTCATGATCCCCTTTCAGTTCGATCCTGGAGATGTGCCTTTTCACTATTCCTGTGTCAAAGCTGCAGCATAGTGCTGTGTCTGATGAGCTCTACAGACTAAAAACCAAGCAAAATTATATACTTGATTGTTGTATTAATCTACTGCCAACAGCTTGCTGAGGTTTTTTTCCCCCACAGCTACATGCCTGACTGCTGCATGCAAAATAAATTCCAGTTGTTCCAGTTCAAAGGTACAATGTCTAGCTTGCAATCTAACCTGATAAACGGGTGGCTTTTATGTTTGCAGATATTCAGACAAGAAAAAGAAGAAAGCAAAAAAAAAAAATGCAATTTTAAAGATAACACATGGTTTATATCTTCTGTTTTTCTCCAGTATTGATTGTGCAGGTATTCTGAAACTCCGCAATTCAGACATAGAGCTTCGGAAGGGTGAGACAGATATTGGAAGAAAAAATACAAGAGTGAGGCTTGTATTTCGGGTACATATCCCACAGCCTAGCGGGAAGGTCTTGTCCCTTCAAGTTGCCTCTATACCTGTTGAATGCTGTAAGTTTTCTCATGTTTTGGCTGGTGTGGAAGGGGGAATTATCTTACCCATAAATATTTCTATCAGGCAATACTTCAGGAATTAAACTTGTAGTTCACAAGAAAAATTATGTCTAGGTAGCTTTTTTCCTCCTTGTGCCTGGACTTTTAGAAAGCTCCCTTTGTTTATTCTGATCTATTCATCAGGCTTTACTTTGGAGACAGGTAGTTTTGATTTTTTTTTTTTGGTCAAATACTACTAATAGTTGTTGTGGATTATTATGGTATTGATGTTTAATATTTAGATGTCTCTCATGTCAGGGCTGATTGCAATTTCTTAACTTCTGTATCACTTGTTGCCAGCGGCTTTGGGCTTCTGATTAGAGGGAAATATAGGTGTGTATACTGAACAGAAATGTTGGAAAATACTAAGGAATTGCCTTAGATTAAATGTGAATAAGTGTGTTTGTGTTTCTAGAGCTTCTGAAAGCTTATATTACATTTTAAGATATATTTCGGAGATAGTTATTTTCTATAAAATTATACTTTGACCGCACCAGTGTTTATTGAGAGTTTGTAGCCCATTTCAATAGCCAAACTTACATATCTTATTAAGTAAGTTATGGTTAGCATTGGTTCTAATTCAACATTAAATTTCATTTATGGAGCATAATGATTTTGAAACAGTTTTGAAAATAATGATACAGGGATATAAAAATGCTGCAACTAAGTTGCTTACTGCAAATCTGTAAAGCACATTTTAGTCTAGTGTGTTTTGCAAATCCAACCTGTGTGGTTAGTGTCAAGCAAATTCAGAAACTTTTGAGTTAATAAACTAAACTATAGTTCTATTAAATATAGGAATGATGTTGTTATGACCACAGTCACTGTAGCCAGATTACTAGCAAGCATATGTGAAATAAAAATGGAGAAGGCAGGGGAGAAGAGAGAGATATGATAAGAATTAAATGTGAATACATTCTTAAGCATTTTTGTATTTCTCTTTCACAAAGCTCAGAGATCGGCTCAGGAACTTCCTCAGATAGAGAAATACAGCATCAGTAGTTGCTCAGTAAATGGAGGCCATGAAATGATTGTTACAGGCTCTAACTTCCTTCCTGAATCAAAAATATTATTTCTTGAAAAGGGGCAAGGTAAGTTAACCTGTTTCAAATAACAGAAAAGGCTTATTTCTAGGATTGAAGGAACATAACCAAAGTGTCTAAGCTGCATTCAGTCATACTGCCTATCTTTGTACAGTGTCATTTTACACTGAAATACAGGGGCAATACTGCCTTTCTTCTGTCTGAATTCAAAAGGATCTTGATGGAGTTGGGCCCTATCCAACAAAATGCAGTTCACTGGTGAGAAATGTAGGATCCTGCACTTAGGTGAACTCCTGGTATATCTGATTGACATCATTGCTTGTAGGCACTCTCTTTCCTGCCATAGAACTAGATCAGTCCCATGCTTAACTGTGGAACTGACAGTGATGAAGTGCATGGGATGGCAACTGATGTGCAAGTTGAGGACTTTTCAGGATGGCTCAGATCAGGCATAGGCCCAAGTCCATCTGAAGTTCTGTTCTGCAGCCCTGGAGTCAGTGAGTTTTTAGTCCTCTACTCCACTGCTTCTTTACAGAACATGTTAACATTGTGTTTTGGTACATGCAGCATTTCTTCTATCTTGATTGGGCGGTTTAGAGCTGGAGCTCGTTGCCATTTGCATGCTGTTTGCAGAGGAAGTTCACCAGATCCAACTGACTTTGGATTCCAGTGTTGGGGTAGATTGTAAGATTCTGCTTGCCCTTTTATTTTAGATTATTTTCAGTTTGTAGATTTCAAGATAGGACAGAACTTGTAGCTCTGTGAGGACCACTGTCCGTTCACTGAACTTTTATTCCTACTGGTTGATTAAACTGGACAGATTAAACCTCTCTCTGACCTGAGAGATCAGTACAGTTAGAGGTTAGTCATATGCGTGGAGGGAGCAGCCTTTTTCTTTCAGGTAGTGGAATGAACCTCTTCAAGAGTTGTGTTTAGCCCCCCCCCTTTTTTTTTCTTTTTCTTTTTCTAATTTTTAGAAAATCTGTAAAAAATGTTTCGTTCCCAGCCTTTTATTTGCTAGGTACTTTTACTTTGGTTTTTTTAACTTTCTGTATTTTATTCTTAATCATAATAAGTGCCTTTAGTATTCATTTAAGTAGAAACATAGGATAGAAATTAAATGAGCAGTATATATAATATACTGTATATATGATGGATGGATGGATGGATGGATGGATAGATAGAGTTACATTCTGCATCAGATTTTTCTCCATCTGCTGGTTCATTCTGGTGGCCCATGAAACAACCCAGATCTTTCTACCTGTAATTATTCCATTTCATGGTGGTGTTTGTATATATGTAGACCATTCAGTGCATGTACGAGCAGCTATCCTATGAAGTATGCATATATCTCCACCTAGAACACCACTTTCCTCCTTTCCTAAAAGTAATCCTTTAAAACCAACTTTATCCATGCTGCACTTCCCATTTGGGATTAATTGGTAGAAGTTCAACTCTCTCTAGCCAGTTATCTTTGAACAAGATAGGTATTGCATGGCCAAATATTAAGGATGTCTTTCAATGAGTAAAGTCTTTTGTTTTCAAATGAAAACTACTATTAAGAGTTGAATACTGTGTGTTTTGTGTATATTTAATAATTGAATTACTTCAGAATAACCTGATACTTGTTCTAAAATCTTTGTCTTCGTAGATGGACGGCCCCAGTGGGAGGTGGAAGGAAAAATAATTAGGGATAGGAGTCAAGAGGTGAGATTTTTTTAAAGTAGATTATTTTGCTGATTTCTGTAAGGATCCAGGCAGAAAATTGAACATAATGTAGGTAGCTATTTTTTTCATTTTAAAAAGAATAATTATATTAGCACTTATGTCAAATATGCAAAAATGTTTGCAGAATTTGAGCCAGATTTATAGGAGAAGACGGCTAAAGCAGTGAGTGAGGTAATATTAAATGGAAAGATTTAACCTTGAGTCTTGGGAGTCTAGAAAGGGCAAAATGATGTGCAGAAAGTAAACACTAATAGCATAGTGATTGTAGGAAGGGGAGGAGGAGGGAAAACATAAATTGTACAAGAAAGGATGGAGACCACAGCTGCCAGGTTTGTTTCACAAACCTGGAAACCTAGAAAGAAACCTTTTTCAGCAGTTGAAGTGCCAGCTTTAGACCCCCCCCCCCCACTGCAGATTGTTGTCTTGTAAGTGGGCAGATGTTAGCCCAGCAAGCTAACATTTTGGAATATTATAATGATTAGAAATATGTAATATGTGAAAGCATAGTCCTACACTAAGACAACTGCTTCACAATGAGGTCTTCCATGCTTTTCAAAGTAGAAACCATAGGTGAAGACTCTGATGTACCCTGTCACACTTTCTCAAGGAAAGCGGTCTGTAAAAAGGTGTCACCACTGAGAAGCTCTGCTCTGTCTCTTAAAAAAATTGCTTTAGGAAGTTCAGCATGTGCTTTGTCAGGTCTAAATGAAGATGTAGAAGCTTATTTGGAGGATGAAAAAATGCTTCTGAAATATACTTGGTCTTTCTATGTCACTTTATTCATTTTTATCCAGGCTGCGCTTATTCTTGAAGTTCCTCCATATCACAATAAAGCAATTACAGCAGCTGTCCACGTGCAGTTCTATGTTTGCAATGGCAAAAGGAAAAAAAGCCAGGCTCAGCGTTTTACATACACTCCAGGTACAGATTGTTGGTGTATAAATCATGAGTGAGATTGGCCTTTGTTTCGAATGACTCTGGTCCATTGCCCTGATTCTGAGATACGTTGTTATTTATTTTACATTGAAAATTAGGTATGAATTGGGAAAAAAAATCTTAAAGAGGAGTTTATAGTTTCTCTTCGGCTTGCAGTTCTAAGCAGTAGGAGATATTGTGGGTGTTTTTCTTGCCAGCTGGAAAGGCAAAGCCATTTTAAATTAAGCATCAGTTGACCTGTTTTTTTTTTACTCTGACCCAACGGCATTTTTTAAAAAGTATCTCTGGCTACTTTCAAGTTTCTGACTAGGACTGCAAACATAATAAATGGGGGAAAAGTGCAGCTTTGCATATTAAGTTCTAATGCTTATTCTGAGTGGATAAATTATTGTTTGAAGGTTAGGAAGAGGAAAAGCCTTCAACTAGCATGGAGCTGAAGGCCTTCGCTGGGTTCTTTGATCCAAAGTAAGCTATGATAGCCTATGTATTGTTGTTCTCAGTTCTCTTATAAACCATGTCAGAAAATGAACATTCAGGACTGGTGAACAATCATGGATTCCAAACTGTTTTTGAATTAGTCTTAACTCAAACTCAAAATTCTCAACTCCAGAATTTGGTTCTTTAGTTCCATTTACTGTACTATAATGAGAAAACTCTTGTCTGTATTGTCCCAGAATAAGCAAGTATATTTCATATCTTACTTTTCAACAAAGATCAGCTCAGGGATCAAATTACAATTAGAACTTTGGAAAGGTCAACATAGAACTAGTTTATATGTAGAAGAAATAATAGTCTACTTTGGTCCCTGAAGTTGGGGGTGTAGTCCAGGTTTTGGGTTTTTATTTCCAGAGCATAGCCTAGGTTCTTGTAGTTCTATTTGTGTAGTAAAGTTTCATATAATTTGGAAGAATAACATATTCAATATATTCAGATGATCTAAGGTTCAGTCTCCAATATATACATTTTGAAAACCTGATATTGGGCAGTTTGGCTTGGAAAGACATCAGCATGAGATTTCCCAAGCTGTTGTGGTTAACTGTATTTTTCATGTATATTCACTGCCATTCACACACATGCTAGTTTTGATGTGGGGTAAAATGACATGTTACTTGTTTTAGTTCTGATGTTTATCATTTCATCTGTGAATTTTAGCTGATCATTGTTTTCTTGTTATACAGTTGTATTGAAACAAGAGAACAGAGATGAAATGGATTTGACTTCAGTTTCATCGTTGTCCCTGACTCACTGTAAAGGACTCTCTTCTGTCCAAACCCAGTTGCCTTCACCAGATCCAGGGCTTTCACATGATAGCTTACTTTCTACTTCACCCAGGAACCTTGTATGTCCCATACAGCAACCATTCACACCTATGGTATCCTCAGCAGTAACCCAGTTGTCACACATGCAAGGTAGAAACATTAGTCCAGGTGAAGAGCATCCTGTTCTGTCTTCAGCTGTAGTCCACCAGTCTTTTCAGGTAACATCAGCATCTTCTGTGGGGCCTTCCTATCAGCCTATGCAACCTAATGTTATGTTTAATGGACAGCCTGGTCTTCCCATGAACCCTGCCTCTTCTAGTCAAGGATATGATACAATTTCATTTCAGCAAGATGCACCTGTACCTCCACTGATAAACCTCAGCTGCCAGTCTCTACCACCAATCCCATATCATTCTTCAAGTTCAGGTTCAGTGTCAACTTCAGTTGCAACAGGAGGACATACTTCAGCACACCTAGCTCAATCAAGACCTCATTTGCAGTCAATGCAATATCATTGTCCTGATCCTCAGCAAAGTCCTGTTTCTTCTGCAGTGACCCAGTCCCTTGGACATCCTTCCTCACAATTGCAGCAAATAACTTACCATTCTTCAAATCCAGGTAATTCCTCATCATCATCCCCCAAATCTTCTCATTCTTTAGTTCATTCACCACGATCTGGGCCATCTTCACCACAGTTGCAATCTATGCCTTACCATCTTTCTAGTTCGGGATCTGCCTCATCTCCTCCTCCAGCTGCTGTCAGTCAGTCTGGACAACAGTCCCCACAGGAACATAGCCCAGGTTTGGGAGGAATTGCTACAACTTCATCTTTGATGCATCATAACATATGTGACACATCTCCATTTTCATCAGAAGGGTCAACTGTTAATATTAAGCCTGAACCAGAAGATCAAGAGTTGAATTTTCAGACAATGGGGCTGCAAGACATCACGTTAGATGATGGTAAGTGATGGTACATTAGGAGAGTAGTAAAATAGCTTGCTACTTTCAGAGGCATAGTATAAGGAAGGATTATTATATATGCCATACATACATGTGAACTTAATGTCATACATTTTTCCAGTCACTGTAATACCTTGTTCACCTGCAGAGTACTTGAACATTATATGACTGTGGGGAAGTCCTTTCCCATTTAGAAGTTAGTGCACGTCAGGACTTGTACAAAAATGTGTTGATCAGTTGGACAGTAATTTAGCATTCTTATGTTTCAGTTTACATGATACTCTTAGTATAGTAACTATCTCCAAATCCATTATTCAAAGATATTTATCTTCTTTCTCTTACTCTTTCTCAGTGTCCAGTTTTCATAGCCATACATTATCATTATTGGAAAGACCATTGCTCTGTTTATTTCATTGTTAGTGAAATGTCCTTATCCTTCACAATCTTTCCTAGATTTGTCGTTGCCTTCCTCCCTAGGATTAATTGCTAGCAATATAACCATTACTTGTGATGGCTGTCACTCGGTTTTTCCAGCTAACTAGAGCTATCCAAACCTTAAAGCAAATATGCTGAAACTACCTTACAGTAGAGAATATATGTTATTTGTAACTACTCAGAGCCAAGCACTGTAAAATAAAACTGTACAAAATGTTTTGAATGCAAAATATTTTGCATCCTTCTGTTTGAAAAGTGCTTTCCCTATCTGTGTTATCTAATTATTAAGTTTGACAATCACTGTGCTAAGGAAGAACTCAAAAGTGTATTATTTTGGAGATTTTCCTTGATCAGGTCTGCAAAGAAACTGCCTCAGAGCTGTAGGACAATGAAGCACAGCAGCATAGAGCAGGACAGTACTTGTACTATAGTACTATTCAGCTGTACAAGCTGCAAAGGGAGAGAGTTCAGGAAGAGCAGTCCCACATATGCTCATTCAGTGGCTGGTCACTGATGAAAGTTGGGTGATTTGGACCATTAGCTATGCTTATCATAGCAATCATTTGTGGATAGACATCTCTCATCCTTGATAGCTAATTTATGATGGCATCGTTAACACATTTTCAACATTCACAAGATACTAAGGTTGTCAATTATTAAGATAGTATGAGTACTTGAGACCCTCCTCCCAGTAGCATTCTAGTTAAGTCTTCTCTTAATTATCTAATCATTATTATGTGGGATTCCATTGTAATGTCTGAGAAGTTCATTTAGGGTCATTTTCATGCCTGCTGTGAGAAAGGCCTGTAACAAGTAGATTTACTTTAGATTTTTAATACTGAAATAATAGGACCTTTTACATGTTTCTAAATATTATGCTGGTACCATTTCATTTGGGCTTAGATCCTCCTAAAATACAAGTTCTAATGTATGGTATTGTGCAATGAATATTTAGATATTTATAAGAGTTAACTTGCTTTATTTGTGTATCAGTACACCCTGTGTGCTGCTAAAAGTGACCATCTGTGTGTATAATCATGCTATCAACATATAGCAGCCCAGGACAGAATTAATCAGAAAGAACTTAAGTATTTGAAGCCTGAATGATACATCACATTTGGCTTTGTGAATTAAGTGCTGCATAAGAGGGAAGTTGTTTCAGCTGTAATCAGTAGGCATGCTCAAGAATTCCGGAAAATATATACAGTAGGTGCTTTAACAAGCATTCATCTGAATAAAATTGTAAAGCATTGTGTTCCCCTAAAAAATGAAATGATCAAAAAATCAGGAAGAAATATCATAAACATGTAGATTCTGAAAAGCTGGCAAAATGTTTATTTTTGTATGTGAAATCCTCCTTTATTCTTAGTAAAATATGTAATCTTTGTTAACCAGTTTGAGGTGATAGTTAACCTTGAGTGATAATGACCTTTTGTTAATCTTCTTTTGTGTCAGTTATATCTCCCATTATATAAAGGCATGATTTGAAGTCCAAGTTGGGCTTTTATTGTAGATCAAAGCTAGGTTTCTTTTGGGTTTCTGTAAAGAATAAAAACCTGAAACTGTTCCATGAGCACATAATGAGTGTTCGTTAATTCACGTTTCATAGGAGCAGTATTCTCTTTTCTCTGTTTAGTTCTAGCATTTTTATTTCTTGTCCTGAACATATGAAGTTTGAGAAAAACAGGGAGGAGTCAGTATCTCTCTGCCCTGCCCCTGAAGGCTGGCTAACTATTCCCTGTGTTCATATTCCATAAGTAGGTTACTTCCTGCCCAGACCTTATTTAATGACCCTGGGGGGCTGCAGAAGATACCTTGCATCTAAGATGCTTTCTTAATTAGTTTGTCAAAGTTGTTTTCCTATGGCTATTTAGGAACTCTTTATCTTTTTTGATAAAGAGTTTCTGAAGGATGTTTTCCATTTTTTTCCCAGTGTTCCTGCACTTCTGCTACTTCATCCTTACTAAGAGGATAGTATAAGATATAAAATGAGTTCCAAAACATGTGCTGAAAGGTACGTGTTTTGGCTTTTTCTAATGTAGCCATTTTCAGCCTGAACATATGAGGGTTTGAAAGTGGGTACAGGACAAGGCGGAACATGCTTGCCTCATCTTCTGTGCTCTCTGATCTTCATGAATACAGGTGGGAGGCCTGAAAGAGAGTTGTAGTCATGTTGGTTTAAATACAAGGAAGCTCTCAGTGTTACCCAGGACCCTGCTTTATTTGGATTCCACATTGACTTGTGAAATGTCCCTGCATTCAAGCAAATGCATGTACAACTGCTCTCCAGAGCTCTAAGCTGAATATATAGCAGTCAGAAAAAGTAAGAGTGGGCTTCCTTATTCAGCCACGGTGTTCATCTAAAAGCTTGAAAAATTCTATATATGGCCTTTCTTTGGACAAAATCCTAAAGTTGTAGAAAACAGTAGGGCCATGCTGTACTTTGGATTCAAAGGGGAAAATGTGACTTGGAGCATGCGCAGGTGCATATTTTGCACTTCTTTGCGCTTCCTTGAAGTAGCTGTGACTTTTCCTAGGCTCATGTGGCTGCCCTCTGTAGCTGTCATGTGATCCTGGGAAAAGTTGCATTTGGTTTAAGGGAGTGTTTCTCACCCTTGGCAACTTTAAGTTGTGTAGACTCTTGTGTAGACTTGTGTAGCATGGGGAATTCTGGGAGTTGAAGTCCACCTATGAAAAACACTGATTTAAGTGTTTCTGACAGGTGCTCTCCATGCGGTTGTGCATAGGGTGAATCCCATTTCTCCTTTTGACTCCAGAGCGCTGCGGTTGTTCCTTTGGGAACTTGTGACCCAATGCTTCGGTGATCTTCTGGTGATTACCTGGAGCAGTTGGAGGGCTTGTTAACTATGCTGTTGCCTGACTACTTCCCTAGGGAAGCAACTCCCCAGGGAAAGTCTCATTCTAAAGCTAGTTAAAATGCTGTATCCACTTCAGTTACAAATATGGCGTCATGTTTAACCATTGGCAAGCTTTCTGCATCATGTCGTAGTCATAAGTCATGGTTTAGAAACCATAGTATGGGGTTCATTATCACATGGTAAGGCGAAATCAAATAGTTTAATTCATTGTGGCTTACTGTGTTGTGATGGGAATGAGAAGAAATGTCAGAGGTCATTTAATCCAGCTTCTGCTCAGTGCAAGAACTGTAACATAGGATACAGTTGTAGTTTGGCTCTTTGATAGTCTCTGCTTAGATAATATGCTGATTAAAATCCCTTATTGCTGTTGTGGCTTGGTTAAATGAAAACTTTGTCATTTGTTTCAAAAAAGGATCATCTGTGTTTTCTGACTTGTATGTGATAACAGTTACATCATTTGTGGTGTTTTCCTCCCATCTTTCCCAGATTTCTTTTATCAGATTTCTGTGTAGATATATGCATTTCTTGTATATACACTCCCCTTCCTTTCTGTTAGACTTAGCAGAAAGGAAGGAGGCAATATTTGGGGGGAAATTGGATCATGCATACATCGTTTTTTAGATAAATATTCCAGTTCTGAGATTCTCCTCCAGCCTCAGCGATATCCATCTGATTATACTTTCTTCTCAAAATAAGACTCTATATCTGTCTGGTACTTATTCATGCTATGTTACTATATATTTACAGTACCATCTAAGCCTCCCTGCTATATTTATTAGCAAGATACTGGACTCCAAGACCACAGCCTTGCTTTCTCCTTTCTCCTAATTGGTTAGGGACAAGAAGCTGAGCAGCAAACCGAGCAGCCCTTGGTTTGTCTTTCTCCCCTGCAAGGTCAGACTTACCAGGCTTTTGCCAAACATGTTTTTCTGGATTTGTGAGATACACCCCGGCATTAAAATAAAAAGCTCTCCCGTTTGGTAGCAGAGGTCATGGTTCAAATCTTTCCTGAGATAGCTAGTTCATTTCTAGTGGAGGAACTATTTATAAGCCCTGTTTCTCTTTGGGATTTAAAAATGTACATAATTTATAAAGACTGAAGTGAATGCATAAGTAAGAAGGCATTGAGTTTGCAGTATACGTTCAAGTGAAAGTGGACGTTAAAAATGCACTTAAGGCTTCATCTTCACATGGTTAGTTTTATAGCACTTGCTTTTTTTTTTTTAAATTCTTACTGCAAGGGAAAACTAAAACCAACTGAAGTCATGTCAAAGTGTTAAAAAAAACCCGCCTGAAACTAATCCAGTTGTCTTGCAGTAAATATTGTGTTGTATATCATAATAACATTTATCCAACTTTAGATTAGCAGCAGTCTTTCGGAGTTTGGTTGTAACTCCATGGGGATAGGAGTTGTGAAAAGAAAAAAATAATTTCAGTATCAGATGGAGACATCAACAAGGTGTCATAAACCCCAAACAAAGGCACTTAATCCCAGAAGAATATATCATGTGATCAGTAATGTACAGTGAGAGTTCTGAAAGCTCATCTCTGTTACCAAAGCTCTGCCAAGAACACATTAACAGCTTGTTCTCAAGTGTATGTAAACAGAATAAATTTGAGGGCAGCATAGCATACAAATAGAATTGAGGAATCCCACTGAATAGGATAGCTAAGTGGCTCTTCATGTTTCTGGGCTCTATGGACATATTTTTTTTTTCTCAGATTTGTTTGGATCTTACCTGGGTGGAAGACATTTCAGGTTTCAACCCTGCACCACCTCGTATCTTCCCATATTGAGCATGATTGGTTTCTGAATGGATAAGCATTTGTTGGGTGCTGTTGCTTGCCAAGGGACCCAACAGTTCAGCTTGGAAATGCATGCTCCAGAGTAACATGTTAGTAGAGTGGGATTCCTTAATTTCTTTGACATGTCACTTGGAACACTCTTGGCAATACATACTTATAGATTGCAGTTTCTCTTATACTTATTTTTCTCAATTGACCAGAATGGACCAGAACAAAGTCCATTGTAGGACATACTGCTTGGTATATGTCTGAACACATGCACATATTTTACATAATTGCATTACTAAAATCACTGTAAGACTAGAAAATAGTTATTTTTTTTTAATATTTGTATCAATATTGTGTATTGTGTATCTGCTGTGATCAGAGATGAGTAACAGATCATAAGACAATGCCCAAGTTTTTAGTACTCAAGGGGTTTCTGTTGAAGAAAATTCTTGACCAGCAAGTTTATATGAACAGTTATTGGCATGGGATAATTAATTCAGGTGTGAAATAAGTACTTGTTTTTGGATTAAACTTTTTGGTAAAAAAAAAAGTTTAAAAAGACCTTTTCAAATGCAACCATAATTATACTATTTGCAACAGAAGATATGAATCTTATGCTACAAAAGAAGAAAACGTAGAGAGACAGGTGTTTGCATAGTCTCTAGATTTTCTGAACATTTATTTAATAGTCTGCAATTGCAAAAACTCTTATTTAAATGAAGGCAGAAAAAGCAGGCTTTCCTATTAGTTCCTCAGATTTGAAAAACACAGGTCCCTTCTTCAGACTTCAGGTAAATGTAGCACATTATTAGCTTCTGACCATAAGCACTTGAGTCATTTATATCCTTTGTCTAAGCTTCTGAGATGTTAAGGAATTAGAATGTTCAGAGTACACTAGACCTAGTATTATATTGACTTTAAGCTTGTTGTAATCTTACTCTGTCACATCCAGAAGAAAAATGGTGTGTTTGTACATGTGTGTGTGAGAGAGAGAGAGCAAGGGAGAGTTCTATGCCATGTTAGCTTGCTTCTGAGGCTTATCAAAAAGTTAACAGCACTAAGCAGCTGCTAATTTGTATAGCAGTGGTTGCAATAGCTTATAACAGGCAAACAGAGTATATTCTTGTAATGTGATGGAACCACAGATCACTGTTGATACTCCATTTCTGTTTTACAGTGATCATTAAACCAGCATTAGAAATACATATTTGAATGAATGTTAAGCACCAGATTGTCAGATGACAGGTGCTAAATATACTAAATATATGCAAGCTGATGTCAGATTGTGATTGTGGCCTTAATCAGTTTGCAACCTAAGAAATGTAGAATGCAAACTGGGTTACTTAAGCAAGTTGAATATTATCATCATACAAGACCTGCACTCATGATTGAAACAATTCAGTTTTGAGAGATACTAGTTTGTATTGGGAAATTTTTAATGTAATATACTCCCTTGGGGTGACATTCTTAAGGACTTCTTGCATTTTTTAAAAGAACTTGTAAGGTATAAACATTGTGTTTAGGAACTTGTATTCTTCCTCCTAAATTGGGTCAATCCACAATCCACAAACTCTTGGTGGAATTTGAACAAATATAGAAAGGAGCAAACTGAAAAATTCACCTGCCACACAGATATCATGCTACAAAATGGAGCACTCTCCACACCTACTTGTGTATTTAATTTCATGAAAAACGCTGGCTCCAAGCAAGTTCCAGTCCTAAATACCTCGATTTTCAGTACAAGGCCAACTATGGAAGAAAGAGAAAATACTAGAGGGGAGAAGCGTTTAGGCTAGGAGCAAGATTTATTGATTTACTTACTTGCATCATGTAAAAGGGGCGGGGCTTTTATTGCCTGGTTGTGGCTGCTGTCTTTTTTTGACACCCCCCCCAGGGGCTCAAGGAATAATCAGAACATTACCCAAAACGAAACCTATCCCAAGAGGAATTGGAAACCACTCTTAGACTTTTTGCTTGATTCTCAGAAAAATCCAATCTTGACTTTGGGATTTGCTGATTGATGTTATACCTATAGAAATTATCTTATAGAAATATTAGATTAAAAACGATTTCTTACTATGTAAATTTTTAGATATTAGAGTAAGAGGCGAATACATTTTCTATCTATACCTGTACCAAGGAAAGTCGGAAGCTACTCTCTTGTGTTCCTTTTTCTCCCCCCTTTTTTCTTTTCTTTCCCTTTTCTTTCCCTTCTTTTTTCCTTGATTCCTTTGTATTTTAACTTTTGTGGAAAACTTAATAAAGATTTCAATATGAAACCCATCACAAGAGGGGATTGCGACTCATGACCACTTGTACCCAAAGCTGGAAAAGCTGTGCGGTGACGGTTTTCCTTAAAACCAAGCAGGTCCAAATGTGGGGAGAGATGCTGTTCCAAAGAAAGGGGGCTGTAGCTGAGAAGGCTAAGTCTTTTCCCCACCACTTTCATGCCTGTAAATATTCATAACGACTTATTCCTAGTACATGCAATGATGTAGGGGGTGAGCATTAATTGCACATCTACAATTAAAGCTGCTGCTCTGTCATCTCCAAGAGTTTGAAAGAAAGTGATTAATGTGTGAATGAACTGAAAGCGATTAATATGCATCTGAACTGAGAGCTTAACATGACTTTCAGGAAGATTTTAAGAAATGGTGGAAGTAGACCAGTGTTTCTCAACCTTGGGAACTTTAAGATGTGTGGACTTCAACTCCCAGAATTTCACAAGCTGGCTTGGGGAATCTGGGGGGTGGAATGCCAAAAACCTAAAATTCCCCAGGGTGAGAAACAATGGGCTAATTTCAC